CTCTCTTACAGGTCTGCATATCCCCTCGTTCTCCAGGAACCTAGTCGGTGTCGGCTGCCTCCAGGACCTTGGCGTCACCACTACGTTCCCTGGTCACGAGCGGTATGCTGTCTGTACCGAGGCCGCCACTGGTGCCCCCAGGTCCACGTTCCCCCGGGACCCGGTGTCCGGCCTGTTCACTCTGGACATCGTGCCCCCCCCGGCTGGAGCGCCCCCTCAGGTGGCTGTGTCTTCCCAGGTTGCTGCTGCCTGCTCCTGTCGCCCCCTCACTCACCCGGCCCTCCTGTGGCACCACCGCCTAGGTCACCCTGCGCTCCCGCGTCTGCGTCACATGTCCCAGCACGGTCTTGTCCTTGGTCTCCCAGGTTCACTCCCCGCGTTTCCCTCCTCCCCAGCTCCACCTTGCACGCCTTGTGTCGAGGGTCGGCTTCGCCGTGCCCCTCACTCCTCCTCGTTCCCCCCTACCGCCGCGCCGCTGCAGACCCTGCACCTGGACGTCTGGGGCCCCGCCCCCGTCCCTGGGCCGCGTCGCGAGCGCTACTTCCTTATGCTTGTCGACGACTTCACTCGTTACACCACAGTCTTTCCCCTGGAGCGCAAGGCCGACGTGCCTGGCGCCCTCATCCCCTGGCTTGTCTCTGCGCGTGTCCACCGCGGTCTCCCTGTCTTGCGTCTTCACTCAGACCGTGGTGGCGAGTTTGCCTCAGGTGTCCTTGGTCGCTTTTGTCGTGCGGAGGGCATCACCCAGACGTTCACCCTACCGGACTCCCCACAGCAGAATGGGGTCGCTGAGCGACGCATCGGTTTGGTCATGGAGGTCGCTCGCACCTCCATGGTCCATGCCGGTGCACCCCATTTTCTGTGGTCGTTCGCTGTGCGCTACGCTTCTCACCAGCTTAACCTGTGGCCGCACCCTCAGCAGCCGCAGGTTTCGCCGACCCGTCTTTGGACTGGGTCTCCTGGTGACGCATCTGCGTTCCACGTCTGGGGCTGCCTTGCTCACGTCCGTGCCTCCGGCACGGACAAGCTCACTGCCCGCACCCTTCCCTGCGTCTTCCTCGGTTTTCCCCTTGACGCGTCCGACTGGCACTTTTACCACCCGCCGTCTCACCGCTTCTTTCACTCTCGTGACGTCACCTTTGACGAGTCCGTCTCCTACTACCGCCGCTTCCCCCACCGTGGTCCCCCGGTTACACCCCCCCTGTTCCTGGTCACTCCTTCCCCGGTAGTCCCTGCCCCTCCTCCTCCTCCTCCCCGTCCCGCCCCCTCCCGTCACCCCCCTCCCGTCCGTGGACCCGGTTGAGGAGTCTTCTGACTCTGGTGGCCCTCCGGTGCAGTCCTCGCCGGCCGCCCCTCCCCAGGTGTCCCCCCCCCGGTCCCCTCCTCCGCCGCCCCTGCCGCCGCTGCAGCCGTCGCCGTCGCCGCCGCCGCTGCCGCCGCCGCCGTCGCAGCCCCCGTTCGCTGACTCTGGGGGTGCTCGTCCCGGTCACCCTGAGGGTGGTCCCTCTGGGGGTGCGGGTGTGGAGAGTGCCGGTGGTAGCCGAGGAGCAGCTTGCGGTCCAGGTGTCGCCGTTGTGCCGCCGCAGCAGCAGTCCCCGCCGGTGTCCGCCCTTCGCCTGCTCGGCCTTCCGTCCCCCGACCCTGCGTCGGTTCCTCCCCGGCCGTCTCCTCCTCTTCCTGTCTACGGCCCTGTTTTCCCTCCGCCGGACTCGTCCCCGGCCCATCTCCCCCCTCGTTCCCCTCCTGTGTCCCCTCCCCTGTCTCCTGACCCGACTCCTCCATCGCACGTCTGGTCTCACCGTCCCTCCCGTGCTCGTCCTGCCTCGCCTGTCCTGCGCTCCCACCCTATGTTGCTTCGTTCACACGCGTCTCGTCCTCCCCTTCTGCCGTCGCCTCCTCCGTCCTCCCTTGTTGTCGCGCCCCCCCGCTGTCCGACTACCTTCGTGCCGCTCGTCCTCTCGTTCCTCGGGTCCTTGCCTCTCTCGTTACCGACCCGTCTGTTCCCGTCTCGTGCCTTTCCGCTCTTGTCGCTGCTGTCGCTGACTTCGCCTCTACCCGCCGCCTTGACTACGCCACCGCTCTGGTCTCTGACCCTGCCTGTCCTCCGTCTGTTGGGGGTGCTCCTGCCCTTGGCAGTGACGTCCTGGAGGACCGCCAGTTCAAGCTTGCTTTCCTCTCCGAGGCTGCTCCCCATCTCTGTTCCATGCTGCTAGTCCCCGAGGGTGACCCGGACGCTTTCGACATCCCGACCCCTCGCACTTACGCTGAGGCGACTTCGGGACCCTGGGCCTCGCAATGGATAGCTGCCATGGAGCAGGAGATGGCATCTTGGAGATCCACCGGCACCTTCGTCGACGCAGTTCCCCCACCTGGGGTGAACGTAGTCGATGGCCGCTGGCTCTTCAAGGTGAAGCGCCCTCCTGGAGAGCCGCCTGTCTTCAAGGCGCGCTATGTGGCTAGAGGCTTCAGTCAGCGCGAGGGGGTGGACTTCTTCCAGACTTTCGCTCCGACCCCGAAGATGACTACTCTTCGGGTTCTGTTACACCTAGCTGCTCAGCGTGACTACGAGCTTCACTCCCTCGACTTCTCCACTGCCTTCCTTCAGGGCAGCCTACACGAGCAGGTCTACCTGAGCCGCCCTCCGGGCTTTACTGGCACCTTCCCTCCTGGGACCCAGTGGCTCCTGCGGCGCCCCGTCTACGGCCTGCGCCAGGCTCCCCGTGAGTGGCACGACACTCTGCGTACTACGCTTGCTGACCTGCAGTTCTTTCCGTCTTCTGCAGACCCTTCACTCTTCGTTCGTGCTGGCCAGACTCCGTTCTACATCCTCGTTTACGTCGACGACCTGGTCTTTGCCACAGCAGACAGGGACGCGCTGGCCTCTGTGAAGGCAGAGCTGCTGAAGAGACACACCTGCACTGACCTTGGAGAACTGCGCCGTTACCTTGGCTTGCAGATCTCCAGGGACAGAGCTGCGCGCACCATCACCCTGACTCAGTCACACTTGGTGCGCCAGGTCCTTCAGAGGTTCAGCCTTCAGTTCTCCTCTGCACAGCCCACCCCTCTGCCTGTAGACCACAGGCTCTCCGCTCCAGTGCCTGAGGAGTTGGTAGAGCCTAGCGGCCCCTACGCAGAGCTGGTGGGTTGCCTCATGTACCTGATGACTTGCACTCGCCCAGATCTCGCATACCCTCTCAGCATCCTGGCTCGCTTTGTGGCCACTGGCAGACACCGACCGCAGCACTGGTCTGCCGCTAAGAGGGTTCTGCGTTATCTTGCTAGTACATCGGGCATGGGGTTAGTGCTAGGAGGACGCAGGCCAGCGGTCCTTACTGGGCACACAGACGCTTCGTGGGCAGACGACGCTGAGACACTCCGGTCTACCCAGGGCTACTGCTTCAGCCTTGGCTCAGGTGCCGTCTCGTGGAGAGCTACTCGCTCCTCGTCTGTTGCACAGTCCAGTTGTGAGGCTGAGATCTACGCCGGTGCCATGGCGGCACAGGAGCTCCGCTGGCTGACCTTCTTGCTCACTGACTTAGGTGAGCGGCCTAGCTCTGCCCTGGTCCTGTTCGCTGACAACAGGGCCATGATCCTCCTGTGTCAGGAGCCTCGACTCGAGGGCAGAGCGAAGCACATTCAGCTGCGGTACTTCCTCCTGCGTGAGCTACAGCAGCGACGTCAGGCTCGCGTAGTACACTTGGCCTCAGGTGCCAACACGGCTGATATCTTTACGAAGGCGCTTGCGCCTAAAGATCATCAGCGGCACTGTGTACAGCTTGGTCTAGTTCCTGTAGCCTCTCACTTGCTAGGACCTTGACTTTGTACTGCCCTTTATATGTATACTCAGACTGGACTTGTGTCCTCTCCCAGTGGCTGGACTAGTAGTGCTGCCCTGCTCTTGTGCTTGCCTTGTCTGTACTCCTTCTGACCGGTCGCTCAGACCCTTGCCTCAGAGGTTGGACTAGTAGTGCCGCCCTGAGCTGCTTGTTTAGGGTATTCCCCTATGCAGTCTAGGGGGTGTGTCAAACATGTGTAGTTGTCATGTTTGTATAGACTGTATAGAGTCACCTCTTAGAGGATACAAAACTTAGATATATTTGTGTGTACTCTCACATTACGTTTCATTCAATTCTAATTTCTGATATAAAGAGCGTAGGAGCTAGCATGGTGGGATGGGATTACGTGGGTGAAACCCCAGGGGGTGATCCTTGTATTTTGTGTTCCATCTGTACTCGCTACGCAGTACGAATTTTGGGCTACAAAACATCTCGCGACCTGTTTGGGCATCAATTTTGCATTGCTGTTGCAAAGGTTGCTTTATAGTAAGTCATAGTGACATGAAACTTTTGAAAACGCGACCTAGAAAGATAGCATTTCTGAAGGACGTATGAGCACGTTTCCTTTGGGCCAATGGGTTGTGGCTTTCCCATCACACAAGCACCCTTCTGGAAGTTCCAGTACTCCGCTCAGAGGCACACCTGCGTTAGGGTTTGAGGCGCACAAGTAGAAACCACATGGATGGAGGGATGACACGACTTTGCCGAAGTCCCATTACTCCGCTTGTAGACACACCTGGAAAAGCAGTACCATATGCGCACAGAGAAGGGGTGCTTTGGCCAAGATTCACAATAAAGGCACATCCTACAACAGTGAATGAGGTACTAAGACACACCCTAAGAAATTTCACGATCTACGTTCTCTAATACACGCTTGTGAATGAGCTACTACGTAGGTGCGTCCATAAGCTTCCCACGCATTCTCTGGGCATTGGAATCTCTGCCGCAAAGCAGTCAAATCAATTGCCAATACAAGATGCAAATCTGCTTGCCTGTACCATTAGTCACCAGATCTACGAGCATTTGGTAACACGTGCTATGACAAGAGGCAATAAGCATGACAATGCAGGAGAAGCAAGCAAAGCGCAGCACCAAAGCATGCAGTGAGTCCAAGGATCCTCGAACACTGCAACATCATCCTTAAAAAAAAAAGGTGCTCCTATGACATGCTAATAGAGGAACCACTCTACAAACCCTCTTGCTCCGCACGAGCCATTTCAGCAGTGAAGCCAGAGGATCCAGAGACTGAAATCCCAGTTCCCAAATAGATAGGAGATACAGCATTGATCACGTGTGCTCCAAACATTTCTTGCTTGACCTTCACCAGCTCTCCCAGCAATTGGTTCATGGAGGGGCGGGAGGCCGCAGGCATGGCAGTGCAGGAGAGGGCAAGGCGGGCCAAACGCAGCACGAGATCATTGGGTGCATCCAAGTAGGGGTCCTTGAATACTGTCACGGCACCGGACTCCACGAATGGGGCGACCTGCCGGGTTGAACAGCGAACACTCAAACCCATGAGGGGATATTGCACAATAGAATCTCGACAACATTGACATGCCTAACATTTGCTGGAAACTGACAGTCATAGCAATACTGTGTGAATTATCTATCAAGTGCATTTCACTAGGGTGCCTCACCCATTGCTTGAGGCTGATCGGACTGTCCTCTTCCACGTGCAAGGCCTTGCGTGCCGAGATGACCACCAGCATCACCACTCCAAAGCTGCCCATGGAAAAAAGCAAACAATACAAATGGACTCGAAAAGGGAGTGAAGGGAGGTTTTTTTCATCAGGACATTTTGATGAAGGGCAAAATGGTTCCTTCATGAGGATATAACATGTACTGTCTACAAACACACACAAATTTTCCCCTAGAAAAAGTAATGCAGCATCTCTTAACTCACCTGTAGACGTCTGCTGCTGTAGTGGCCTTGTGAGACTTGTAGTAGGCTGGGTCCACATAGCCTGGTGTTCCCATCACTCGAGTGGCAGCCATAGACGTGCCCATAACGGTGCCCCCAATGAGTTTCACAAGACCAAAGTCAGCAATCTTGGCCTGGAAACCAATCACAAGTGCACCAATGCCGACTGAGACCATCATTAGATAAGACCACCATGTATTTCAAGGAGTCACGGCATGCTATCAATGACGAAACATAGCTAGGATGATTGAAGGGGCATGCAGGGAGGATCAGAGTCATGACATGCCTGCATTCTTGTGTCGAGAAGAATGTTGGCTGGCTTGATGTCGCGATGCACAATGCCAAAGTCATGCAAGTAATGTAGTCCCTTTGCCACACCAATCAGAATGTCCAGCCGTTGCAACAGTGAAAGATGTTGTGGCGCACCTGGGAAGGGACAAAATGGATCGTTTATTTGCTGAAATATGTTACATGGCTGAATATGTTGAAAGCAAGTGTGCGTTTTCATCCTAGACAGGTCACATCCTAGATGGCTGATCAGTTGAATGCAAGTGTGTGTTTTCATCTCTAAGGTAGTATACAGAGACCCATACAAACTAGAAAGACGTGGAGATGGAAACCGGTAGACAATTGAACAAGAGAGAGAGAAAAAAACACGCACCATGAATTAGATTGACCAGCAAAGCAATCACCAAAGACTGTCGTGAGAGGTGCAAGGGAGCACGATTGAAACAGACAGGTACACTAAAGGGTGTGGTGGGAGGTGCAGTACCAGGTCCAATCCAGCTCTCGAGGTCTCGGTTGGCCATGAACTCATACACCAACAGTTGCTCCATGCGGCTCGTGCTCAGATCGATGTTCACACAGAAGCCCAAAAGGCGCACCAGGTGGGGGTGGTGCTTCGATGCCATCTCGTTCACCTGAGACAGGGGAAAGGGACACATGGACTGAGTAAGAGAACGACGGAGTTAGGGAGGAGTGAAAAATGCATTTTAAGGAATAGATGAAAGAACTTGATCCATAGTGTAAGGCCAGAAGCAGCATTATCCCAGTATGATACCTCAGTGAGGAAGTCATTGGAGAGAAACCTAGATCGCTTCACAGCCCATATGTCATCAGGGTTGTACGGAGACATGCCCTTGTAAACATCCCCAAAGCTGCCGCTGCCAATCCTGTTCCCCTCGGCCCAATCTGCTGTTGCGCTTGCCAGCTCTTCCAGAGTGAACTTCCGGCACACTTGCGGCTTCACTGCCTCCATATCCACCACGAAATCCCCTCCATCCTGTCCTCGTGCTGCTGCGGCTCCTGCCGCCACAGCTGCCGCTGCTGCCGCCACTGCTGCTGCTTCTAGGTCCCTCTCCTCCACTTTGTATGCTTCTCCTAGTAGCCCCGGATTTGAATAATGGGAAGGTAGTGAAAGTGGAAAGGGATTGTGGGACATTTGGTGTGTGCACGGAGAGATCACCAGTGAAGTTCCACAACGTGCATCAGAATCTTATATTGAATCTTACCTTGGAACTCTCTCTCTTCTGCCGGATCCTTGCCCTCTGCATCTGTGCCACCATCACCTCGTGCTGCAGCCTCTTTGGTGAGCCATCGCTTGCACAGCATCAGACCCAGCAGCAGCAGCACGAGGATTGCCACACTGCCAGCAGCAGCGATACCAGCTATGGATCCTACTGATATTCCGCCCCCAGACTGGGAGGGAGAGGCTGAAGGTGTGGAAATTGGCATTGGGAATGGTACAGGATGGCAGGAGGGAGGGGATGCGGTGGCATTTCAAATTTGAGGAGAAAGTACCACCAAGAGGAAGCAACGAAGTGATTTTTGAGGCTCCTAGATAATAGTGCTGCTAAGACAACACTCAAGGGCACGGCAAGCTGTTAAGGATCAGCCAGGGCGTGGGGGGAGGGCCGCGAGAGGAAGCAGGGGAGGGAGGGGAGATAGGAATGTACGGGGGGAAAGGGTGAGGGGAGAGAGGGAGAGGGGGGGCAGTTGAGTTGAGGATATAAGAATGCGGACTTGTGAATGGTGATAGTATTCACACAACAAAGAGGATGAGGCAACCATTCGTAGACTAGGAGGACGATTGTGTCTCACATGACGCTGGTGGTGACTTGTCACAGGTGGAGCAGAAAGAAGGGCACTGCTGGCAGAAAGCGCTTGAAGTGTTTTGTGGGACCACACAGTTGCTGTTGTCAGGTGGGCATGTGATTGCTGTTGCAGTTGTGTTCCTGCACATGCACAGAAAGCATACCTATGTTTAGGGAAGAAGATTAGGATTCCATCTTTGCGATGGATCTTATTTCACGAAGATTTGTGGATAGCCTAGGGTTGATACTGGATTGGCGTACAGGTACGAGAGTTTGGAAAGACTGCCGATTGTTGGAGGGAGGGGGCCAATGAGATTGTTCTGGCTGACATCCCTACAATGCAAACAGCCGGGCCTCCCCCCTCCCCCCCACACACACCAACACACAAACACACAGAAGGGGACATGCACCAAAGTAGCAGTGGTGAAGGGTTTTTTTGTGAAGACCGTTGATGAATTCCATGGCCAAGCACTTTCCCGCATAGTGTTTGAGAAGGCAATCTGCACGAAAGGATTGTTTCCAATGCTTGTTTTTCTTGTTGGTTGTTTCCACAACTCTGTGTCCAGATGATTGTTCCCATTTTGGGAGGGAGGTCACATAGCACATGGCTATGGACCATGCGTTAATCATAGGAAATGAAAACATACAGTTCTCTCAGCTTTACGAGGTTGCTCATGGATTCTGGAATGCTGCCATTCAAACTGTTGTTGCAGAGCTTTCTGGTGAGGCGAAAACACAAGCAGTAGTGTAGGAACGAGGATTTCCGTGTCAGACAAGTGCAGAAAACATGCTAGCATGCACAGATTGGAACCTACGATCTAACGGATAGCATGACATTGAAAACACTCAGTTGAGTATCAGGTCTCTCTTAGTTGGGTGTCAACTTGTTTGGGCCCTCTTCTTGAGTTACTTGATATAACAATGAAAAGTTTTGAGCACGCACAATTCCTCCATGCCGATGAGGTTTCCCAAGGACTCTGGGATGCTGTTCGAGATGAAGTTTGAGGCTAGACTCCTGCACCCGTTAGTAGCAGCAATGCATCAAGGACATGAAAGGGCATCTGAAAGGCAAGGTCGAGAGGCGTCTCTTGTTACTACTCACGATTAGCTATTCCACCCAAGTTGATGGAAAATTACAGAGGACATTTAATAGTAGAAGACCCTGAAAGAGGTAAAGAGTCACCCTATACTTCATTCTATATACTAACCGGTGCTGTTCAAGCCAACCATGGAATTTCAGGGCCCAGTTTCCTCTTTAATGAACTAAAAGAGGAAGGCACAGTGGAAAGAGGAACGAACTCTCAGTGAAAAGTATGCAGCAGTATCATTCAAGCCAAATATGGAGTTCTGTTGTGTTCCAATGGTACTGACAGGTAAGCAAGGCTGCTCATGTTGCCGATGGTAGATGGAATAGACCCAGTCAAGTCATTCCATCCGAGATTCCTGATGGTGGATGCAAATCATTCCATGGGTTGGTAAATTGAAGCAGGGAAGGAGAGGAGGAGCCATTGGAGGGGGAGATGATAAGGGCATGACACTGGTATAATTGGTATAACTGCCTTGTTACTTAAGTTGAAAGAGGAACGCTCAGGAAACATGTGACAGTTCTTGGCCTACTAGTAACGAGAAACAACATTTTGCTCCATTGAATATCATGCAGTAATGCCATTCAAGCCAAACGTGCAAGTTCAGTTGTGTTCCCATCATACTTACCAAAACACGAGGCTGGTCATGCTGCCGATTGTAGATGGAATCGACCCAGTCAAGGCATTACCTTTCAGATCCCTGATGGTGCATGCAAAGGTTCCCATGGCCGATTGATCGAAGCAGAGGATGGGGGGATGTATGGATTAGGGGGGAAGAAGAAAAGTGCGCGACATAATGATGCTTTATTGTGACTCAAACAGCACATCCCATTGGGTGCATTCAGCTGCATGCGGTGCCATCTTATAGTTCACAGTAAGTAATGTCAGCTAAAGAAGCCTTGTAACAGAATTAATAAAAATGAGACAGAACAAGGAGTGTGGTTAAGAGGAACTCTAATACATACACATATGCTCACAAATAGTACAGATTGAGGAGATTTCCAATGCCTGAGGGTATCGAGCCACTAAGGATGTTCCAATCGAGATACCTGGAGACCATGGAAGGGAAGACGAGAGAGCAAAGGATGAGTAGAAACAAGTGTTGCTTAATCAGGGTCAACAACGTGTGGGTGGAAAGACGATTGGGTCCTTGTGTGGGACATTCAACCACAGTACCAAACATATGTGCCATTAAAATTCACCTATAAGCATCTAGGGACAAGATGACAGTAGAATATCAGGACAAACGACACAAGGAGGGAAGCAAGGGGACAAGGGTGTCAGAGATCGGCTGGTGCATCCAATGCTTCTGGATTGCATATATCACAAATGCGACCCCTCAAATTCTGCAATCCACCCCAATCGGGGATGATTGCACTTTGAGGGATCCCAAAAAAATAGACAAAAAAGAAGGAAAGCAAGTTGTAAAAAAGAAAAATCAACTTCTTATAAAAAAAACCCTTTCATATTATGAGAAACAATTCTCGTTACTTATAGATACATACGTGCAAAAAATATTTGTTTTTGGAATCTACAATTTTCTTAAAAAAAAGCAAATCTGTTATATAACACAGATATCTTAATTTGATGCAATATCGTATAAGATTTGTATGTTATTCAAATAGACTCAAAACTGTTTTCATAGAAAGTCCTTGTCTTTTTTTAGGTTTTCTATTTCGGGAAGTCCTGTTTCTTTCTCTCATCCCTTCCAGCACACATTTATGTGTAGCTCAATTTCTTAGCAAGGGAAAACAATACAAGGAAACATGAAAAAAGGATGATAGGTTGTGCACGAGACACACATCTACTTACTCGTCTACTTCTTACGGCTGCAGTAGGAGTCGAAATGGAACAGACGGATATTGGTTGACTCAAACATGCACGGAACATAAGGATTTTTCTGTTACTCACAGGCGAATCAGACTGACCATGCTGCAGATAGTAGATGGGATGGATCCCGTTAAGCCTTGTAATTCTAAATCCCTGAAGGGGTGTGGAGTTGGTTATGTAAGACAGGGATAATGGGGGAGAGAAGAGGGGAAAATGAATGGATTCTCGAAGGACGTGCAGGAGAAAGACTCATATTGAATTGGTGCACTCACATGCTGGTGACCATGCCCTGTGCATCGCACGAAACATGCTGCGCATTGCTGCAGTTTCCCCCAGCCTCCCACCCATCGAAAGTCCGTCCCCACGCCTGCTGGACGTCGAGCAGGAGTTGCACTGGAGGCACAGGGAGGGGGGAGAGGGGCAGGAAGGGTGAGCAGGATAGGGTGGGAGAAAGAAGGACCAGGAGGAGGGAGGGAGTGGAAGCAGGGAAGAGCATAGTCTGGGGAGAGAAAGGACTAGGGGAGATGAGCTGGCTAGCTCGCATATATGAGCTGATACGTAATGAGGAGGGATCCAATGCCCTAGTACTTTCAGAAGCTCTCTTCCTTTGCAGGAGTTGCACTGGAAGCAGAGGGAGGGGGAAGAGGGGCAGGAGGAAGAGGGAGGGGCATCATGAAGGAGAATCAGGAGGTGGATCAAGGAAGGAGAAACGAATTCAATGGCTGTCGTCCCACCGTATCTCCCCAACTCCTCCGATTTGCCCTCATTAGTCCTTACGTGGAAGGTGAAATGGGATGGTATACGTTGTCGGAGACCCACCGGGGTTGCCCTTGAGATCCTCGGGAAAGAGCCACAGGTGCAGAGCCTGTGCTTACCTGCTACTTAAAAAGCCCTTTTAACTCAGTGGTTAGTGACTGAGTTCTGACATGGTATTAGAGCCAAAGGTCTTGGGTTCAATTCCCAGTGTGTGCACCGGTAGAGGTGACAGTACACCGGCAGAGGTGCAAGGTCTTCCGTGCCTATCCCAACGAGGGGGGGGGGTGTTGGAGACCCGCTGGGGTTGCCCTTGAGATCATCGGGGAAGGGCGACAGGTGCAGAACCTGGGGGGTTATGGGCGCACTTACCCACTACTTAAAAAGCCATTTTATTTCAGTGGTTAGTGACCGAATTCTGACACACCTAGCCCATGGTATTTTCACACCCAGTATTTTCACAGGGGGTGCTGCCTAGAGGGTATTCACCCACCGGAAGCAGCTCCTGAAA